CAGGAGAAAGTAAGGAAGGCCTCTAGATAAGGGTTAGCAAACTAGGGCCTGTGGCAAACTAAGAATGGTTTTTACATTTTTAAATACAAAAAACAATTCTTAGCTATTGTAGGGAGTACAAAAGAGGCCCTGCCTATCCCTGCCTAGCACGGTGGTTAGACCTCCTGTGGCAGATTTCTCTAGCTGAGAACATCATCCTGAACTACATGGGACGAGCGTGCATGGATGGATTGCAGTTTGCATCACTGGAGGGAGCTTCCAAATTAATGAAATCATAGATCCGTCTGAGTATATATCAGCTACTGTGCTAAGGCAGAGGTACCAAGGCAAAAGTGAAAGGGTATAGTCAGCAAGTTCTACCTCAAGAAAATTAGTCTGGTTGGCTTTTAATCTAAAGCTGATTTGCTTAAAAGACTGACAAACATTTGTGGGGAACAAGCTTTTCTAGGCAAAAAGGAGGCTTTTGTTTTGGAATGAGTGGTTTCAATTTGATCTATCTATATATCAGTGGTCTATAAAATTTTTTAAAAGTTTTATGGCTTTTTTTATTTGCAAATTACTCCTACTTTGTGATAAATTTCCTGTAACAAAGTAAAGCATTTAAATAAAACTAATAATACAGTGGCCATAAAAGATATTGTAGGTTAACGAGAGGCACTGTGGAGTAGTGGGGACTAGCACTGGGACTAGAAGTCAGAAAGATTTTTGTTCAGATTCTCCCTCTGACACTTAATAGCCATGTGACTGGGGCAAGTCACTAAGCCCCTTGGAGCCTCAGTTTTCTCATCTATAACGTGAAGTAGTTGGGCTACATGGCCTTTTCAATCCCTTGTAGTTGTAACTCTATATATGCAATTGAAAGGCATACTAAAAATTGTATAGAATGGTGTTTTAAGGTGTTTCATACAAACTTTGTCTTTTTGTGGGTTGAGTTGGGATTTTGTGAGAATTTCAAGATTATTCCCTGTATAATATGACTATTTATTAAAATGTAATTTTGCTTATATTTTGCTCTGAAATATCCTGTTTCCCACTTTCTTTCCCCAACCCCTCATACTGATTGAATCTATCATTTTTGGGTTTCATGAGTATATTTCAAGCTTAAAATTGTTCCTTCAACAAATTAGTTTTGGGGAAAATGTTGATCTAAAAGGTTTAGGCCAAGATTTTGAACCAATTTAATTAAGTGCTGGGAAATTACACTTGTTGGCAGTCAGCTTAGGGTCATCATGTAAAATTTTTAGAACTTAAACCTAAAAATGCATACAAAGAAGCTTTTTCAAATATAACTAAGACCAGTTATCTCCTACTAGTTACTATAGCTGTTTTCACTTTGCATGAAAAGAGAAACTATTCTACATTTATTCATGGATTATGAGGGCTATTTATTTGATTTTTTAAAAAAAAGACACATCTATCATGTCATCAAATTTAGTAGAGTATGTAGATGAATAAAGGAAAGAATAAGATATTTTTTCCATCGTGTTTAAATGGATGACCCAGTTACACTGAAATACTTTAGTTAAGCATCTACTGAATGCCCAACACATCTTTTTTAAAAATAATTTTTCTTTATCTTTTGTTTTTATATCACTTATATTTCTCAGTATATCCCTTGCCCTATCCTCTCCCAGAGAGCCAACCCTTATAACAAAGAATAAAAAAGAGGTAAAGTTCAGCCAAACTAAAATATCAAAAGTCTACCAGCATGCAGTGTTCCACACCCTGCTTATTTTGCTTTGTATCAGCTCTACATCACCTTTCAGAAAGAATCAGCGTAATAAAGCAGGTTTTGAGCATGTACCAGGCATCCTTCAGACATATTATTGGAGTAAGTTAGATGACAAAGATTTGTTGAAATGTGTTCAGGTAAACACCATCTCTCTGTGGACTTCCACACCTCATAAATTGATAAAACCGGTGTACTATAGTGGAAAAAATTCTTGAATTTGGCGTCGGAGAACCTGGGGCACCTGGGTTTGAATCCTAGCTCTGCTACTTAATACATAAGGACTTTAGGAAAACCATGTAACTCCTTTGGCCCTCAGTTTCCTCATCTGTAAAATGAGGGAGCTGGACTAGATGAACTTAAATATCCTTTTCAATTGTAATTTTTTTTTATCCTAAATGTGATTCCTTTTGTTAAAGAGGATAGACTTGAGTTAAATGAAAGTTACCATTTAGGCTTAGTTGTATTTTTCAACTCTTACAAATTAGAGTTTGTTTATTTAACCTAAACTCTTACTAATACATTTCTAATCTTTGAACTCCAATTGAGTAAATGTTAATTAAGTACCTACTATGTTAAAGACACTGAAAATCAAAAGATTAATTTATAAGCAAGGTTGTATAAGTGCTAGTAAAATCCATGAGTATTCAAAGAGCCACTTTTGTGTCAGACTTTTTTTTTTTTATTTGTGAGGCAGTTGGGGTTAAGTGACTTGCCTAGAGTCACATAGTATGTATCAAATGATCAAGTGTCTCAGGCTGGATTTGAACTCGGGTCTTCCTGACTCCAGAGCCAGTGCTCTATCCACTGCGCCACCTAGCTGCCCCACAAAGGGCCACTTTTTAGAAACAGGTCAAATGTTAGTACATTTCTAAAAATAGTAACTATTTAATGTTTTTAAATGGTAAAATTGAACCAGCTTCCCCAGCTTAAATACGAAGATGCCTTTGCTTAACTATAGTCTTATATCACAAACTGCTGTTCAGATTAAATGCATTAAACTTGCCTTTCAAACAATGTACCATATGTATCTCAAATTCAATATATTAAAAATAAAATTTACTGCCTTCTCCCCAACTTCCCAGCACTTATGTATTACTGTAGTGCACCATCATCCTTCCAGTCACCAAGGTTCATAACCGTGGTGTTATTCTAGGTGTCACATATATCCAGTCAGTTGCCAAATCTTGTCTTTTCTACTGCCACAGCATTTCTTCTTCCTTCCACCTATATGGCCACCATTCTAGTTTAAGCTCTCATAACCTACACTTGGATTATTGTAATATCTTCCTCTTTAGCTTCCATGCCTCAAACCTCTCCCCACTCCAGTCCATCTTTACAGCCACCAAAGTGATTTTCCTAAAGCATAGGTCTGCCCTGACCGTGATCATGTAAAACTCCCTTTTTCCTTAAAGAGCTAAATTAGCTCTTTATTACTTGATGATCAAATATAAACTCCTGTGTTTGCCATTTAAAGCTCTTTGTAACCTGACCCCTTCCTATTTATCCATTCCATTAACACATTACTCCCCTCTACACTCTTTATAATCCAGCCGTCTAGGCCTACTTTCTGTTCCTCACATAATTCATCTCCTCTGTCACAGCCTTTGTATTAACAACCCCCCCTCACCCTCCCACCTCTGCCTCATCCCTGGAATGTACTCACTCTCTACCTCCTCTACCTTCAGGAATCTCCTTGGTCTCCTTTAAGACATAGTTCAAGTGCTACCATTTGTAGGGGGCTTTTCCTGGTCCTTCCAGTTGCAATTGCCTCCCCTTCCAAGGTTGTTTTCTTTTGGGGGGGGGCAGTTTATTCAATGTGAGTATGTTAGTTTGTATCTACTTATATAGATGTTATCTCCCCTGTAGAATTTAAGCTTCTTGAACTCAGGGACTGTATCACTTCTGTCTTTGGATCCCCAGCACTTAACACATAGTAGGGGCATAAATCAGTGCTTGTTGATTAAGTGACTGATTTCAGCATCTCTGCAAAATAGATCCCTACTTTCCAAATCCACATTTTGGATTTGGAAAAATCAAAGTGTAAGGAAGTTAATGTTCGCTAATTGATGATTGGGTACTCTTTGTTTCTGGTACAGTGCTAGCTGTGTGGGAGGATAGTGATGATTAGGCCGTAATCCCTACATATGGCATGATAAGGGAGATGAGGCAGAGGTAAACTACAATACAGAGTAGAATATGGAAGTGAAATGAGAGAGACTTAAGTAAAGTGTGAGACTTCTGAGAGATTACATTCAACTAGGGTATCAGAGAAGAGTTCATAGAAGAGATGGATTTGAGTTAGCCCTTGAAGGCTGGGTAGGATTTCATTAGGGAAAGATGGATAGTGAAGGTAAAAGAGGGCACCCCAAATAAGGAAATAATTGTCCACAAAGGTATACAGGAGAGGAAATAAGAAATCAAAACATGAAGTCTGGCTTGGCTAGTTTGTAGGGAATATGAAAGGCTATAACTGGGGAGACAAATTGGGGCCAAATCAACATTTGAGATTTAAATATCAGAGTAAGAGTTTTGAATTTATTTGGTAGGTAGTAGGGTGTTACAGGTTTGTGACCTATGTGGCAGAGCTGTGCATTAGGAAAATTAATCAAGTAGCATTATGTAGTATGGGTTGGAGTAGTATGAGGAGAATTGATTCAGAGATTAGAGAGCTTGAAGCCAGAATGCTTTCATAACTTAGTAGGACTGCTTTTATTGATAGGGAAAGAAATCTCTAAAACAGTTGGCTGCTTAAGTATGGGTCTTAGGACTTTATTGTAAAACGTGGCAAATAGGAGGAAAGACCCCTGTTAACCTGGACTTTACTTTATCACTACATTTAATAAGACCTATGACTTCACTGGTACCAAATTGAAATTCCAAGTTGAAGCCTGGTAAATATGAGTGAGTGAGTAAGTAAGTAAGTAAGAGAGAATTATCAGGGCCAGAGCTACAGCACTGGGGAGTCTTCCTGACTTCTTGGCTTCCCTGATCTTCAACACAACTTAAAGCTAGCTATCATGTATTGCCAGTAGTCTACTGATTTGGTTTTCACAGTCCCTTTTCTAGATTTCTCTGCCTGATGTGCCTTAACTATTTCAGATTTTGTAAATAACAAAATAGAATTTACTTTGTGAATGAAGCAGAAAGTGTGTGTGTGTATGTGTGTGTGTGTGTGTGTGTGTGTGTGTGTGTGTGTGTGTTAGAGGAATGATGGCAATATTTCACTATGTGTAGTCAAAACTAATTTCTTTCAAATTTTGCTAATCAGGGATTTAAGAGATTATGGCATCTGAAGCCCACAATGATAGAAAACGGAACCTTTTGCATATTGAGGGCCATTCCATTGATCTTCCTAGGAAAAGGATCTCTCATTTCACTAATAAGAACATGAAGGAGGTATGTTAATATTTTTGTAAATTTCTCATGTAACAGATAACATGTCATAGAATCTAAACTTTTTGTGATACCTGATGAGTTCTGGTTAACTTCTTAAGCAATAGGAGGGTAATAAGTTAGCATACAAAAAAGTGTTCTCTATGTACAATGCTAAGGCTTGTTAACCTTGGCATAGTTTCTCCTAAATCATAATGAAATTCTTATGGAAGAAAAAAAATATATAGTCAGCGTGTTCTTTTTTTTTTCTCAGTGAGGCAACTGGGGTTAAGTGACTTGCCCATGGTCACACAGCTAGTAAGAGTCAAGTGTCTGAGGTCAAATTTGAACTCAAGTTCTCCTGACTCCAAGGCTGGAGCTCTATCCACTGCATCACCTGGCTGCCCCTCAATGTATTCTAAAATATAAAATACACTCTAAATGAGAATGGAGTAGTTGAGATTGACAGATTACCATATACCAGTGAAATCAGTTAAGCCATTGAAGATGATAGCAGGTAAAAGTGGGAAAATGTGTAGAGTTTAATAATAGTGAAGGGAATGCTGAATAAAAATAAAATTCTAATCTTTCCATCACCTCCAAATATTAAGAACAGTGAAGAATTATAGATTTATTGATGTTACACCCTTATTCTGGCACAATCCCTTTAACAGAAACTTTTATCTAGATATACTTGTCCTTGGGTAACAATAATTTTCTGCTTTTATTGATAGGGTAAGAAATCTCCAAAACAGTTGGCTGCTTATACAAATAGGTAAGAGATACTTTGAAATTTTGGGGAAGCAATAAATTCTGAAAGCTGGGAATGGTTAAAAATAGGAAATTGTATTAAACATGTTATCTGTAAAGTGAGTTTGGACAGTTATAATCTTAGGGTTTCTCCTGTTCCTAGTGTCCCAAATTCTTTGATTCTGTATTTGATTCTACATTCTTTAATAGAGCAGTGATTGCTTTTAAGCCAGTTCTGTGGCGTGTATTATTCCCTCAAGCCTGACATTATGTTGTCAGAAATGTTCAAAACTTAAGTACAACTGATTATATAGCACTTGGTTGGATGGATGTCAGATGACTAAAACTTTACTGCAAAATTGTCCCTTGACCTTTAATTTTGAATAAGATAAGATTTTATTTCCTTCTTTATTTAAATGAGCTAATTGTTTTTACAGAACAGTTGGATACACTGTGAAAAGTCCAGACAAACTGCACAAAGAAGTATATTACAGAAAGAAAGTTCATCATTATTTTCCAAATCCTTGTTACAGAAGAAAACACTTCCCTAGAAGCAGGGGCTGTGACATGGCAAATAAAGAAAATGAACTGGCTTGTGCAGGCCACCTGCCTGAAAAATTACGCCACGAAGGTCGTACATTTTTACTCAACGCCAGTGATTCTAGTTCTTCACAAACAGAAAGCCCATCATCAAAATATAGTGGATTTTTTAGTGAGGTGAGTCATTCCATAAACTCATTTTTTACCTAGCATGATTATACATATATATATATATATACACATACATACATAAATAAAATTTTTTTTCTTTTGTTGCTTTCTTCAGTCTTCAGAGTACCTCTCATCCTTTGTCTATAGAATCTCTTGAGTGGTGCCCCTTGGGTGAGCCTTCTCAGAGTCAGATCAAGCAAATTTGAAACAATTATGTCCACTTTTAAAAGTTTGTACTTTTCTGTGTAAGTAGAATAGATTTATTCAGTTACCTATCTCTTACAGGATCCAGACTAGCACATTGACAGGTAGAGGTTGGAGGGGGCAGGAAGAAAGAAAAGATCAGATCTTATGAAAAAGTAGAGCTGTTATATATAGATGCAAGAATCAGCTCTCCTGGCATACTTTACCTATTCCTTAATTCAGTGGAACCCTAAAGATTTAAACACCCTAGTGTGGTAGGTTGTTGATTGTGACCCTTGCTGTAGTACTGTAGAATAGCTTAGCCCAAAGTGGTCCTTTGAGGAATGGTTTGGTAAACTCATGTTTTGTTTCTAGAAAACAACTCCTATAGTCCTCCCAAGTAGTAATTGATTGAATTGATTTAAGGTAGCATAGGTGATAGAAGATGAATGTGATGATTAAGAGAATGTTTACAAGTATATAGTATTTTTAGAGAGATCTTGATTATGGAAACACAGGGTCTTTTACAGATGGTACTTGAAATGATATTGGAACTATGTAGCAAGATCTTCAATCTCCTTGGAAAATAGTGAATAGAAGTTTCTAGAGGAACAGAAAGTAAATCAGTATTAGAAAAAAATCATGACAGGAAAGCAGACTAGAATCAGAGTTTCTGGGAGATTGGTGGGAAGTTAAAACATTAAAAAAATTCTTCATGGAATAACAATGAGCCAACATAAGAATTAGAGAATGGGTGTGATGATATTATACGTCTGTGTAATAAATGTGAGAAGAATTTAAATATCACCATTATAGAAGTGATGGTTCTTTGGGGGATCACAGTGACATAGTTTCTAATAACTGATGACCTGAGTATAAACTGAAGGATCACTATGGTTGTTTAGGAGGAATACAATTGTAGTTGCTGCTGTATTGTGAAAAACTATACACAATCCTCCCTTTCCTTTTGCCTTTTCATATTCAAACCTCTTTTCCAAAGAATGCTTACTGCTCTGGCCCCTATGTCCCCTGTGTAGTTTTCAGAGGTATATTGATTACTGCCTTATTGTTAGAGGCCTAAGGTACCTTGCTTTATTCATACTTAATTTTAAAGTTTTTTTTTTACCCTAAAAAAAATTTAAATTGATGCCATAACACTGGAGAGAAGCTGGGCCTACTAGAATATTTTCTCTTATATCCTTATCCTCATCCAACAAGAAGGAATAGTAATAGTTGAGGAAAGGGTGTTGATGTTTCAGATTGCTTGATGTTCATTTTCTTCAAATGCTATATTATTCTAAATTGTGAATGAAACTGCTAAAGATTTTTAGTTTTAGGAAAAGGGACTAGCATTGTGTAAGGTAAAAATCTTTTTACATTGACCTGATCTAATTGAATGACTACTTTGGTTCTCTTTTCCTACTTCACGTTTTTTTTCCGTCAATATAGCCTTTAACAAATTAGCTTGCTGCTTGTCATAAGTTATGCATTGTGATACAGTGGAAAGAACTTTGGACTTGGGAATCAGGAGACTTGGATTCTGCCGACAACTAACTTGGACCAATCCCTTTACTCCTTGAAACATCATTTTCATCATCTATAAAATGAGTCATTGGTGGGGCAGCTAGGTGGTGCAGTGGATAGAGCACAGGCCCTGGATTCAGGAGGACCTGAGTTCAAATATGGCCTCAGACACAACACTTACTAGCTGTGTGACCCTGGGCAAGTCACTTAACCCCATTGCCTAGCCAAAAACAAACAAACAAAAAAATAAAATAACATGAGGCATTGGATTGAATGATATCTCTGGTGCCTTCTAATTTTAAATATTGTTTCTTTGCTTGCAGGTTTCACAGGACCATGAGACAATGGCACAGGTTCTTTTCAGTAGAAATCTGAGGTTGAATGTAGCTTTGACTTTTTGGAGAAAGCGAAGTATAAGTGAACTGGTAGCCTATTTGGTGAGGTAAGTCATTATAATTTTTTTCCTATTCTTGGTTTTCCTAAACTGTAGCAACCAATTTCAGGGATAGCAATGTAGAATCAGCTTTTCAACTTATGGTAATGTTGCTGACCAGAAAATTTAACTCCCTGTATTTAATTTTAATTAGAACAATAGTGTCCAAAGTTGATGTAGCACAAGAGTCATTATTTTTCTTTACTTGCTATGTGATGTTGAATAAACTTGGTAACCTCTGTAACTCAGATCTTCATGTTATAGATAGTCTGTTGATTTTGGGGAAAAACTAATTGTTAGTCACCTTTGCTGACTTAGGTGAATATGACTTGAATGTGAAAATAATTAGCTAATTAACTTTTGCTTCCCTTAATACTATAGGATTGAAGATCTTGGAGTGGTGGTAGATTGCCTTCCTGTACTCACCAGCAGGTAAAAAGAGAACATTTTTTAGAAAAATAGAAACCATGGTATATGCAGATTTTTGTAACCAAATGTATATTTTAGTTTACAGGAAGAAAAGCAGTACATTTCACTTGGCTGCTGTGTAGATCTGTTGCCCCTAGTAAAATCACTACTTAAAAGCAAATTTGAAGAGTAAGTGTCTATATGAATTTCATCTTTCATTTTCAGCAACATTTATTAAAGTTCTACTATATACGTGGTACAGTATTAGGCTGTGCAGGAGATAAGGGCAATCTAGTTGGGAGAATAAGATTTATATATATGAAACGACTGGGGAAGATTGAAATGGTATCTTGTCAGCAACTCTATAATACTTTAGCATTGATGGTATTGTCAAGTGCTGAGAAAAATTCAAAGTAAATGGAAGAGGTTTGTATTTATCAGTAAGCACTTTTTGGAGGGAAAGCATGATTTTTACACAAAATATTATTTCAGATATGTGATAGTTGGTTTGAACTGGATTCAAGCAGTCATAAAAAGATGGTGGTCAGAACTATCTGCTAATACAGAAATTGCAAAAGATGGGTAAGTATTATAATGAATTTCTATACTTTGCAAATACCCTGCTATTCTAGTAAAAATTCTGTGGTCAAGATAGCATCAAATAGATAAATAGCAAGCAAGCAAGAAAGAATTTATTAAGCTCTTACTATGTGTCAAACACTGTACTAAGCACTAGGAATACAAATACAAGAAAATAAGATGGTCCTTGCACTCAGAAATTATTCTAATTTCTAATGAGGGAAGACAGCTTATAAAAGGGAACCGGAAAGGGAGCAAGGGTGGCGTTCGAAGAGTAAGGGTATCTTTATGGGAACAAGGCTTCTGGTAAGGAGGAGGAAAAGTCAAGAGATTCATGAGTAGTGGAACGGGAAGAGCCATTGAGCATGAGTGGTCTAGGCATCTCATGACATGGTGTTCCTAGCTAGGGCCTTGCCAATAGGGAAGTGGTTCAAAAGCAAAGATATCTTCAAGAAGGTGAGAAAGTTACTGGGGAGAGGGTAGAAAAGTCCAGAGAGTCAGGAATGGAGCCAGGAGAGAAGTGAGCATGGATGGCCAGGGCTGTTCATGAGATGGTGGTTCTATCAGGGATTCACCAATCAGGAGAGGGTATAGGAGCAAAGGCAGCTCCCAGGTGAGGTGGCTGCTTGTATATATGATCGTAAACACAATGTCATTCACTCCCATTCTTAATAGAGAGGATTTAAGGAAATCTTATACTCGTTATAAAATTACAGGAAAATCTTTGAAGGCAACACAGTGCGTGCAGTTAATTTGGAACTAGAAGATGTGAGTTCAAATTTCATCTCTGTTGCTTACTACCTGTGTGACTGGAGCGCAGAGAAATTATTCACCCAGTGTTTCTTCATCTCTTAAAGGGAATAACAATATTTGCATTATCTCTTTTGTGAGGATTAAATGAAGGAGTTTATGTAAATCTTAAAATAGCATAAATGTAAGTTGCTGTTATTAGGCTACTGTGATGTCTTCATGATAAAATTCTTAGATAGTAGCTTAGAAACTTAATTTTTAGCAGATCTGATTTATTTAAATGAGTGTTAAAGGGGGCAGCTAGGTGGAGCAGTGGATGGAGCTCTGGCCTTGGAGTCAGGAGGACCTGAGTTCAAATGCGGCCTCAGACACTTGACACTCACTAGCTGTGTGACCCTGGGCAAGTCACTTAACCCCAATTGCCTCACCAAAAAAAAAAAAAGGCAAAAAAAAAAAATAAATGAGTGCTGAAGATTTTATATTAGAATATACTAGAATATAGAATATATTAGAATACATGTAAAATTTCAGAATCTATTAACCTCCCTCTTCCTGGAACTGACCCCATTTTGCTGAAAAGACAGGGATAGCAATGCTATGTCATCTTACACATTATAATCAGGCATTTCTGGAGTTGCAGGTATTTGGAACGAGAGTGAGGGCATCATACGGGGCCAGCCTATTGAGAGTTCAGCATATATTTCTGTAGTTTTGGAAATATGTAGATTATTCTATAGACTGAGACAGATAATCTTAAGTAGCTCCTGAGTTTCTTCTAAGGAATTAGAAGACTGTCAGAATCAGCTGTTCCCTGTATTGCATAGGCACTGTTTTCAAACACTTTTGGTAATGAAGCATGAATCTCCATGAGTAACTGACACATATGACTATAAATAATTCATTTGAGTTCTAATATCATTGTGCCTCAGGATAAATTCTTAAATATTAAAATGTCTTCAGTCATCTTTCTCTGGATGTATGTATATTTCACTGGACTATATATATAAACAGTCATGAATAAATTTTTGCTTAAATTCTTTTTTTTTAATTAAGAAATGTTCATATTTTAAAACAACAATTAAGTGGATTGTGGAAACAAGAAAACCATCTTACATCGGTCCCAGGATACACTGGTAATATAGCTAAGGTATGTATATAATCAGAGGTATATCAGATGTTTGACTTTAGATGTTCAAAATATCTAATAATCTAAATATCTAATATCTAGCCTGATGGATTTGTAAAACTAGAACTACTGAAGAACAAGTCATTAAATTACTTAGCTAGTTAGGTAAGTGATACTGTAGAGTCCTAAAAGCAAGTATACCTCCCAAAGTGCCAGAATACTCTGGGTATAGGTATAGCATTCTGTTGTTTGGCAGGGAGCAAAGGGACTGCCCATTGAATGTCTTTCAGATGCATTTCAAAAGACAGTCATCTTACGGGGGTATGTTATCCTGGTGTGATTGTCAGAAGTATTAGAGAAAGTCTTTAAAGAGTTTTAAAGAGATTCATAAGAGTGAATAGTGGTACTTTAGGAAGCCAGAAAGAGAGGGTGGACTCAGAGTAGAACAGTTCTGGACACTTAAATTAGAGCCACTTGCTGTCACACTTGAATGAGGACTCTCTGAGTTTGAGGAGTTTTAAAAATGAGAAGGAAACTTGATCAGTTTCTCACACCCATTTAATTCTTTTATTTAGCAACAGATGCCTCTCCAAATGAAGGATTATGTGTTAACTCAGCATTTGCACTAGAGAAATCCACACACAACAATGTGTCCAAAAGAGATTTATTAATTACTTACTTATTCGGCTATCTGGATAAGGGAGTGGAATGCTATAAGTCTACAAACTTAAATCCACATTGGAGTGCTAGTAGGACATTTCCCCAGATTAAGATGCTAGTATGTCAGTTATGAAGATGATCCCCCAGCTTTCTCTTTTTTTTGTTTGTTTGGGTTTTTTTTTTGACTAGGCAATGGGGTTAAGTGACTTGCCCAAGGTTACACAGCTAGTAAGTCTTATGTGTCTGAGGCCGAATTTGAATTCAGGTCCTTCTGAATCCAGGGCTGGTGCTCTATCCACTGTGCCACCTAGCTGCTCCCGCCTTCTCTTTTTGTATAAGAAAAGTCAAATTTCTGAAATGTATTAGATTTAGATTAGATAAATTTTTCTGCTTATTCAGGATATCACAGTGCTTCAAGATTACAATTCTGAATATCCTTTTCCAGAGTTACAAGATGATGATTGGTTCATAGCAAAGTGTTATCTACTTACCTTTGCTTCCGGATGTATGAGTTGTGACTTTGAATATAGTAGTAAGTTGAAGGAAATGTGAGAATAGAATGTTTCTTGTTTTTCTCAGTCTTAGCTAATGGGGATATGGAGGACCTTATCTATGTGCCAGGTTCTTTGTGGTGATTTGGGCCTGTTGAACACTTATTTTTGAAGTTAAATTGGGGAAAGAGGAGATCTTCCAGGGCAGTTTTAGCAGTAAAAACAAAAGAAAGCAAGAAACCAGGATACTAACCAGTAGATATGGGTATGAATCTTCCCAGAGAGCTCAGGGAAAGTGCTAGGAAGATGGCCTTGGGCTTTACATAGGTGCTTATTATTTTTTGGGGGGGTGGATTCTGCAACTGAAATGATAGCACAAATTCTGTAGCAAAGGAGGAATACCCTCCCAATATACTAAGATCCTAATGAGAAAAAGAAGCCTTGATTATTAATGCAAATATGTACAAATTTAGTATCCTTGTGTGTGTTCTATAACAAGCAATATTAATTTATTTATATTTCCCCAGAGGGGAGATGGCATTTTTCATTTATGAAATTCTAGGATGCAAACATGTCTCGGTAAAGAAACCACGAATTTGACACTAAGTAAAGAATTTCAGTAGTTACAGTTTAACAAGCCCTACAGTGACAAACCTCCAATTTTCCAAGTGCCTCTGTTGTGCCTCTTGAGAAAAATATCCATTAAAACCATAAAATGAGTTTATCATCAGAATTGATATTTAACAGTGATTTTTCCAGGTTCTTAAAGGAAAACATAAGCTACAGTTTGGGTTAACACATTTTTTAAACTCTAGAAAAATATTTATTTATGAAAAAGTTTGCCTTCCCTAAAGAAAATACTTCAAAGTACCTCATTATTAGGAATATTGCCACTTTTTAAAAATTTGCCCAATATCAGAGTACATTAGCTGGGAACTGGGTCAACCCTAAATCTTAACAAAAAAAACTTCCTGTTAGGACTTCTCAGATATCTTCAAGAAAAGTAAAATGGTTTAGTATGTATTGAAACAATTCAAGCAACATATTCTATATAGACTTTTTGTAATAAAAATATTGCAAATAAAAACTTGTTCAAAATGTTTTCTCAGTTATTGTGGTGAGGTATAGATGTTAGAAAGTTATATGCCATTATTTAGAATGTGTATTTATATTGTGTTACATTTCAGAAAATTCATGGTCAACAGACTTCATAGGACATCTATAAAAATAAGAGACGTCTTATTTTTAATTTGGCCAGAGAACTTTTATTATTGAAGATAATAGTAATTTTATTTTGAAGTTAGGCATACTATTCCCAAGTTTCCTTATGGGAAAATGCTGTAATAAAACTAGAGACTTCCTAAATAATTGAAAACCTAAAATAACTAACTTTTTTTTTTGAGAGTGGAAAACTTGAAACAGAGCTCAAGAAAATGTCATGATGGGTTGGCCAAATGACTCAAGAGGCTACAAAAAGTCTGTGAGAAATGGAGAATAGAAGCTAGAGGAGACCAGGGCATATGGCGAGAGGCAAGGGGGAGAGGAAGGAGAGGAGCATTAAGAGAGCACAGAAAAAGTGTCTGGGACAGAAAGAAGTGATGAGGTGGGAATAGAGAGACCAAGCAGTTGACATTTTTATTTTAATTTAATGAGACAAAGAAATCAAGGTTTCATAGAAATTACTTTCATATTTCCTGGGGACAAACCATTTTAACCTTGTCTCTTATGCTTTCTACATCTCAATTTATATAGCTTTGTACTATGATAATGGATATTCAGAATTGTAGTCTTGAAGCACTGTGATATCCTGAATAAGCAGAAAAATTTATTTGTATTTTGTATAATGCATTTTGAATGATTTTCAGTAATAAAGATGAAGCACAAAGGGTTGCTGTAATATTTGTTAGTTAAGCAGAAAATTAATTTATTAAATTGTTAATCAGAAGTAAGCACTGAGTTAAATGAGGGGGTGTGTGTATATACACAGGAGTGGGGGGCTAAGTATTGGCAAATAGCCTTTTTTTCTAAGTATTGGCTAATAGTCTGTTTTTATTTTATTCTCCAAGGATGTAGATGCTTATTTATTACAATTACATTGAGAAGTGTCACCATCTGAAGAGGCCTTCCTTATTCAGAATATTCCTGGACTTTGTAACTTCCAGAAAGAGGTCTCTCCTGAGAACTATGAACCAAGGAGGGAAGTAGAATCTTCCAAAAATGCCATTTAATGAAACCACTAATGAAATCCTAACAATCTACTTCACATTGAAGTGGAAAAATATCCACAAGGAGCATCTTTGACTTCAATGAGGTGAAAGTGCACTACGAAAATCGTACGCCTTTGCTGCGTTTGGGATTTGTATGGTTATTTGGGGAAAAGTTGTTTAAGTGCTTCTGTGTCTTATTGCAGTCCTTCATATTGCATAAAAATGTAATTTATACTGACATGAAAAGATGAAATGGGCAAGACATTTTGCTGGGAACCACAGAGACCAATCACCATTAATATTTTTTTAAGATTGTGTTTTATAAAAAAAAAACCAACAAACCACTAAATGTGTACAGCTACTTTGTGATCATATTGAAAAGACTTTAAAGATGTTTAAAACAATGTAGCAAATAATGGATAATTTTTTCACACTGAGATACTGTGTAAAGCAAGATGCCTTAATTATTAGTATATTTGAAAAAGCCAATATATTATGTTACTTATGTCTTTTAAAACAGCCATGCATACAGGCATGAAATCAGGGGTTTTACAGTCATGTAGAATATTGATTTTGGAACCTATTTCACACAGTTTGAAAAACTTGAGGATATTTCTCTGATTTTTGCCAGAATGTCAGAGTATGTGTGTGAGAGTGTGTGTGTGTCTGTGTGTCTGTGTCTGTATGTCTCAGAATATAAAAAGCTGAATATTAATTGAATGAATGTTTAACTGGAAATGTCCTTAAAGTTAGCTAATTTATATTCACTTTTTAAAAATTATATTTGGATTTCTGTTATTTTCAGTTCCGAATCATTTAAACTCCTTTTATTTGAGTAAATATATTAAATGTTTCTCTCTCTTTTTTTTTTGCTTTTTAAAATTCATATAATGTTATACGTGTTCTAACTTCCTTCTCATCACTTGTGTTTTGGATAGTAGTGTCTAATGCTTTAGAAATGTTTACAGCTAGAGTTGACCTTGTGTTCTCCATCCAAATAATTGATACACTACCTCCTCTAATGGTTGCTTTAAAATGGGGTTCATATATACTCTTGGTGTGTACAAACCCAGTTTTGGTATGATTAAACAGTGGTATATGTTAAAATTCCATGACTTTTGTCAATACACTTTGTATTACCGCTAGGTAGGGATAGGAAAGTTTCTATACCACCAACTCACTTAGAACAAGTCTGGTAGGGATCTGGCCACATAGTTTTGGGAATCAGTTTTCCCTGAAATGCCCCCTCATGGGCATGAATGTAAATCTATAGCATTTGCCTAGTCAGCGACTACTGATGTGAATACTGAATGTGCATCTTTCTTGCTTTAACAGGGTAGCTTTCACTGATTCTGGATGCTTTTATTATGCAATTATGTCACACACAGTAGAAAACCTGTTGTGGTCATTGCTTTTGTTGAGTCTTTAACTTAAAATGTTCCACATTACTCTGATTCTGTGATCTTAAAAGGAATTATTTTTCCCCAAGAGAAGAGAAGGTGGTAAGCATTTATTTATTAATCTACACATTTGAGATAAGAAAATACTAATTTCCCTCATTTCTCATTTATTACACTAGTAATGACTGTTTTGATTGAATAGATTGTCTGAGCTAGCTAGTCAGTTGATTGGAATGCAGTACTGATGAGGCTTGGAGAATAGGGGTTTGATTCTTTTTAGGCTAGTTAGCTTAACAGAAAGATAACTGTATTGAGTGCCCCCCCGCCAATCTTCCAGATTTGTGCCCTTGTTGGCAAGGGGAACCAGTTGTGGATAGCCCAGCATAAAGAAGTCATTACTGGAAAAATAATTAAGAACTATATGTTCTGCTAACTGAGTCAGTAGTGTCTTTGGATACCAAAGACAGTACTTTGTGAATACTACTTTTATTAATATAACTGCAGTGTTGATCCTTGCTTTGGAACAAAGTTTTTTATATTTTGTTTTCATGTTTTAATAGATATTGTTTAGTTTATCTTAAGTAAAAATAAGATAGTGTATATTGTCTGTTAGACAATATACATAATAAAAAAATATAATTTACCCCCACCCCCCACCCCAAACAAAAGGAAGAAAGATAAAGAGCCTTTGTACCTGAGCTCAGACTTTTTGGATGGGAATTCAAGCCACTCCACTTTAAACACTCTGAGCTGGATAGGCAGCCTGAAGATCTTCTAAGTAAAAACTGTTAAGTAGCCCACACTCCTGTTTTTCTGTTTTTGCCTCTTGTGTTTTTTATTTCAGTACCTACCTCTCAGACATTGAAATTTGACTAGTGTTTGTAAATGGCTTTTAGATTGCTGAAAGAAAGGTATTAGATAAACAAGTATAATTAAATACTTCTGGTGGTGTTAAGTTCTTCTCAGCTACAATAATTTTAATCAGAACAGTGTTGAATTCCAGAAGGAGCCAAAGAAAGTGTTTACAAAGTATTCTGGTAGTTGTAAACAGTTCAGACATGGTTTGACCTAGATTAGGACAATTGCATGTTTGTTGCCCATTTGTTGAATACTAGCAGTGTTAGCAGAGTGGCTATATCTTATATGGAATTTAAGGACTAGATGAGGTCCCTCCCCATTAGGGACCAAAGAGACACTTTCACCTTTTCAGATTCTCTTCTTAATTTTGCAGCTTAGCAAGGCATTGGGACTAGAAATTTAAAGATGTGATTTGGGGTTATCACGTTTATTTGGGTGGATTGTGTTATGAAGGGTTGATCATGATTAGAATGGCATGAAAAGTTAAAAGGCAGGGATTTTAATGGCATGGCTTTTAAGAAAAAAGTGGTTTAATATTAGCAGTACTCTGTTTACAAAGCATAAATTATAGAGAGTCCTGGGTTATATGATAGTTTGCATGTGTGCTACCTATATTTCCTTTGGGGGGGGGGTGATAAACTTTTGCAACCAAAAATTGGAGACTACTGAGAAGTTAGCCTCGATGTTAGTTGAAACAAAATTCTGCTAAGTTCTGTAAAGAACTGCTGTTTAATTTGTAACTGAATCTTTTGTTGTTAAAATAATAATCTTACTGACCTTAGAATTTTCTTACATTTGGAAAGCTGTTGAGAAAACAAATAATATGCTACAGAAATAAAGATTAAATTATTATGCTCCCTAAGCATAAGTCACATCATCAGCCTTCTTAGCTATTTGCTTAGATACTTAAATCAATCTAGGAGCCACAAATGGAAGAAGAAGAAACAGTTTTCGCTAAAATCTGACACTGCTGCACTAAAGACTTATCCTTCCAAACCCAGTTGCTTTCTTCTTATTTAAAGTCATGATAATATCAGATGCCACTGTCAGTTAAAAAATAATAATTACAACTTAAGCAGCTGACTCAACTAGTGTGATCCATTTCATATAAATACAGCACTCTCAGTCTTTCGACATAGGGTTTTTTGCCTTGTGGGTCACTTCAGCTAGAAATAGTTTTGCTGAACATCTGCTGGCTGGGATTTCCTATTCTTTTTCCTCTACCAAGTTACATTTCAGGCTAATTTGAGCATCATTATAAAGCCATTCTTTTCTTTTAGTATAGTCTGAAGAAATCTGATACCTAATGGTTTTAGAGTGAAGAAAACATCTCCAGACTTTTAATACTCATATGATGTGCCACAGCCTTTTTGGTTGTTTAGTAACAACACTGTATTCCTCTAATGAACATGAATATAATAGGTCATTATTATGATCGGCAACCCGACTTGAGACCATTACAGATCAACCCTGCAAGCTAAGCCATAGCCCAGCCTCCACAAGTAGGAAACAAAGTTAGTAGCGTCTTCATTTAAGATTAGACTACCTTATTAAGTTTGCCATCCTGTATGCTACATTGTTGATTCAAGAATTTTGTTTCACATCATGTTCTGCCATATAATCAGCCCCTGTCCATATCACTGCAGTGTAATCTCAGCATAGCAGTAAAGTTGGTACTTACAGGAAAGACAGTGCATGTTGGGGGTTTGAAGCTGGCATCCTGTTTCCCTTTTGCTGTAACTAGAAAGGGAACATAATCAACATCTACCTTCTGCCCTGGAAATGAGTCACAGAAACTCAAATTTGAGTGCTGAAGGGAGGGAGGCCTCAGAGACAATCTAACACAAATTGTAGAACAGAAATGGATTCTGTAGCACCCCTGAGAAGTGGCTGTATTTACTTCTCATTAAAAAACACTACCTTCAGAGGCCCTCTACTTTTAAATAGTTCTAATCATGGCAAAGTTTTTTGCTTCTATCAAACATAAATCTGTCTCTGGGTCACTTTCACCCATTGTTCTTAGCTTTGCCCTGTAGGATCTTTTCTATATGACAACTCTTAAAGTAATTTTCTCAAATTTCACAGGGAATCAAAGTTGAGAAACAGGGACAACAGGTGCTGATCTCCAGTTTGTACTACTTCCGAGGTCTGCAGAGGTGACTGATGACTCAGAAATCACTTCTGGATAGCTATAATTTTTTTTTTCTTTATATCAAGCCAAAAGCTGCCTCCTCATACTTTTCTATCTGCTGTTTCTGGAGCTAAGCAAAAGTCACAGCTTTCATGTACTTGACAGTTTTTGAAATACATAGACAACTGTTTTTTTCCTAGACTAGTCATTCCCAGTTCATTTAGCCGAACAAGGTCTATGGTCCTTTACTATATTGTCCTCCCACCTTTGGAAATGCCCGACTTTGTCAATGTCTTTACTAAAATGTGGCATCCAGAACTGACATTTCAAACTGAATGTCCCATGAACACCTCAACTTAATAAGTCTGAACCAGAATTATCTTTCTTGCCCTCCACCTTCTCCCAAACCCACTCTTCTTCCAAACTTCTCTGTTACCATCAAGGGCACTGCCATTTTTCAGTCACCCAGGATTGCTGAGTGTCATTCTTAATTTCCTCACTCTTCTTCACACTACATACCCAGTAAATTGCCACATCCTATTGTTTCTTTCTCTACAACATCTCTCACCTACTTCCCTTCCTCTCCACTCACACAACAACCCAACCTTGTTCAGATCCTCATCACATCTTGCCTATACTACTACAATAGCCCTCCATCTAGTCCATTCTCTACACATCTGACAAAGTGATTCTTAAAGTGTAGATGTGATCATGCCAATTTCTTTCCCCTGCTCCAGCTCCAGTGACTCCCTATTAGCTCATGCATCTAATATAAACTCTAATGGTTATCTTCATAACATGGCCCCCTCCCTTTCCAGTTTACTAAGGCATTACTTCTATCCTCATACTCCATGCCTACCCATTGTTGCACTCATGCCATGTTCTGTCTCCAGTCTTTGTGCCTTTACACTAGCTATGCCCCCTCCCCCAAATGCTTACAATGCACTCCTTCCTCACCTCTGGGTTTTGGAAAACTTGGTTTTCCTCAAGACTTGGCTCCATTGCTATCTTCTTCATAAAGCCTTTCTAGGATCCCCCAGTACATCCCCAACCCAAACTAACGTGGATTGATTCAGAGTGTGTATGTGTGTGTTCTGTATATATGTGTACTGGTCTCCTTCTTTAGAATGTAAGGTCCTTAAACACAGGGACTGTTTTACTTTAATCTTTGTATTTCCAGAGCTTGGCATAGTTGCTAGCACATAGGGTAAGTGCTTAATAAATGCTTGTTGAGTTATTGGTGTGCTATCATCAGTGGAAAATGCAGTGGGACTGTTAGGTACCCCCTTTGTTATAGGTACTGTGCCTCTCTTAATGCAGCCTAAGACTGTTACATTTTCTAGCTGCTATTACATTAGTGAATCAGCTTGAAGTCTACTAAAGCCTTGAGATATTTTCCATATAAATTAATTTAGCTACACCTTCCCCATTTTGTAGTTGTGTGGTAGTTTGCGTTTTTTGAACCTACCTTT